GAATTCCAGGAAATGATTTTTCAGCTTACGTAAATAGACATATTTCTCCATTGTCTTGGGATTATTGAATATATTTTCATGATTGCTGGACATTAAGATATGCTGTATAAAATATTTTACTTTTTTCTGCCACTAAGAATAAAGTAGCAATAAACACCAATGACATAAGTGCTTATGTACTGATAATTTTATTTATGTGGGATAAAGTCCATAAGTGACTGGACCAAATGTTAGACACATTTTTTGTTTTAATAGACATTGAAAGATTGTTTTTCCAGGAAAAAGACTGTGTAAGTTAGCATATTTAACTGTAGTTTTTTAATACTATACTGATTTTCCTATATTCTTGCCAGTAAGAACAATGATTGCCTTTTAAAATTTATACCAATTTAATGAATGAACATGTTATCTCATTTTTAATGTGTATTTCTTCATATATTAGAGATTTTGAGTACATTTTAATAATTAAGAGTTTTGAATGTATTTTCATAATTATTGGCCATTCAGCTATGTATATTCTTTTGTTAACTGTCAATTCATATTTTTGTCTATTTTTCTATCTTTTTGTCTTTCTGTCAATTTAGGCCATGTTATTTTTTATTTTGTTGGGACTTATAATTGCAAAATTGTTTGTAGAAATAATCTAAATTCTATTATGATATTTTCTCTCTCCAGAAAAAATTCATGTTTGCTTCTTCAAGGTTGGTGCTTCCAGGATGGTGTTTCATGATGGCTTCAATACTATATCAATAATCACTTCAATTGTATATCAATAATTGAAATGGATCAAATTTCAGCTGTAATCTATGGAAAGGCCTAACTAGTTCTGCTTTATACTTACTCCTGGAGCACAGTATTTTCTTCCCTTTCCCAAATAATTTTTTTTAGTAAGTTGTTATTTGATTTTTCTACCTGTATTCTCTCATGAGTATACAGTCAAGATTTTCATAGGCTACTTGATGTGATAGATTGCAATAAATTGAACGCAGAAGCAGATATGAGGATCATGCCAGACATTAGAAATAACTTTGAAAATATAAAACATTGCACTCTTATTATTATCCTTTACTTTATAACTTATAGTTACTTTTCTTTTTCTTCTTTATTTTAAAGAGGTGTGATACAATTCAGGGTTAGGTGTACAAATGTTCATTATGCAGGTACCCTTGTTGATGAGGTGTGCCCTCCCTCCCCTGGCAGTTTCCCTCAACTGCCAATCCCACCCCCTGAATTCTTACAGCTTTCTATCCTAATTTTGAAACTTCTATCCTGAGAAGGTTTTCAGAAAGTACAATTCCATTTCTTATCCCCTCAGGCATTTCTTTTGGAATCTGCAAGAAAAAAGCAACTTCCAACTTCTGGGCTCATCTTTGTAAGCCGCTGGGTAATTCTTCACTGCTTTGTTAACTCTCTTAGGTTTTTTAGGAGATTTTTTTTACAAATATGAAAGTAAGCTTTTCTACTCAGGATTTGAACCAGATTACTCAGTCCCAGAACCTAGTATCTAGATCTGAAATTTGAATGGCACTTATGCTTAGAACAAAAGCATTTGTTTATATCCTCAATAAATACCATCCCTCTTCTCCATTTGGGATTAACAACGTCTTAAGAAATAATGCAGAGAGTGAAAACAGTGTCTAAGAGAGTTCCCTTATTAATAGTGGAGCGGATGTTGCAGAGATAGCTTAGCATGAGTCACTTGGCCTGAAACCCAGAATAAGGCAGAAGAAACTAGCCAGTTATGGACCGTGCTGTACAAGGCAGTCCCTTCCTGTATCTGTAGCCTTTCTGACCACATGGCTGAACAGGAAACAACTTCACGCATGCCAACCTGCTCTCTACTCAGAAGTCTGTCACCTGTTGAGGAATGAGCCACGAAATCTCAGAAGCTTGGTGGTGCTTAGGAAAATTCCCGTCTTATGGACCCCAGAGAAGAGGCATTCCTCCTAAAGATGGAATTACAGCAATTTAATATATGAATAGAGAAACACTCTCAAGAAGTCTAATATTTGATATTAATATATAGCTTAGTATAAAGAGGTATGTGTTTTTGAACTGTTGAATATTCTTAAATACTGAATACACCAATACTCTGACTTCTTAAATTTCAACAAACCATTTGACTTCTTTGAGCCAATGTTTTTTCATGAGTACAAAGGAGAGTATAACTTCTCTTTATCTGATTTTTAAAAAGTCAAATGGAGTGATATGCTTAAAGTACTATATGTATCCTAGGAAATACTATTAGCTTAGTTTTCTTGTGCATGTGTGTGTGTGTGTTGATATTTTTCAAGCGTTCCAAGCATGACCTCCTGGGGTACTTCTTCTCATTAGGATGCCTGTTTGTCTGCCTTCTGCCCTCTTGCCAAGGCAAAAGGGGCCTCCATCAGCTATTCTTAGCAAAACCACATCACTATCTGCACATAGCACAGGCTCTCCCACTTTTATTACTTAGCTTTTAAATTTTTTCCTTAAGCTCAAATCAATGGCAGGTGTTACAGATCTTTTCTAGCTTAATATTATGTTTCTGGTGAAAAACAGTTTTCCATCTGAAAACTTCTTCCAGACCTCAAAAGTTACTTCCTTCTATCAAAATATATCCTTTCGTTCTCGGACATGCTAGCTTATTAAACTGCTGCTCAGCACAGATGCTTTAATGGAGGACTATCTGAAGCTTTTATTTTGTGTGTCAGGCTTTAACCAAAATATAAGCAGAGAAGTTTTTGAATATTTTATATATATCATATATAACTGTACTGCTCTCCATCTCAACCACACCAGACGTTTCTTCTTCACGCCTCTGTGAACATCACAGAGAATTTTGAAATGTGACTGAGATTACTACTAGGTTAAGCCTAGCAGAGTTTTGGTTTTTTTTTTTGGCTGAGAATTTGTCATTACAATGTAAGACTTCAAAAGAAAGCTTTTATATGTTAGCTTTCTTTGCTTATAAATTATAAAAAAGAAAACATTGAAAATGCAAGTGCTTAAAAATTCTATGGCTTCAAGTTAAAATACCTTCTCTTAAAACTCTAAATTCAGTCTATTATTAACCTTGGCTTGTGAGAAATTTTACAAAGCTAACCTATAAAATGGATAAGTGAAGTATTCGATTTTTCCTTTAAGCCTGCTAAGTAGCCTCCAAATATCATCTTAATTTTGGCAAGCCTTTGTTCCTTCTCCCCATCCATGGCCATTGTTAGATTTATACCTTCTTTCTTCAAGGTATATGCCTGAGGCCTCTGGTATTTTGCACTCCAGGGGTACCTCCTTCCTCATTCTGGGATTGAGGTCATCCTTTCATTTTGTTCTACTACTAGCATCTGTCCATCAGTCCTGAGAATGCTTTCCCCATGCTGTCTTAACTGGAGGTACAGGGTAGATTAGCTTCTCTCTGAATGTCTCCTGTAATTCTCTAACTCCCAATTAACAAAAGGAACTCTGACCATGGGTTTAAGAAAACGTCTCCATTTATAATTATTTTACCAATAGAAAAAAAGTTGATTGGAATTCTTTTAGATGGGTGGTATGGGGCTTTTCCCTGCTGGCCAGTATGAATTTTCTCTGTTGAATATGTAAAATTTCTCTTAATTTTCATTCTCTTAGTCTTTTACTTCTTTTAGGCTGAAGCTGCATGGTGTCAAAATATTATGGTTTTCTACAGAGTAGAAAACATTTGGGCAAATGGTTGTGTCAGTATAAAAAACAAACAAACACCAGCACCTGTGCCTTCTAAGAGTCATAGCATCAGGGAACATCAGCCGAACTTTTGCATTTGTTTGTTGGCAGCTTAAGAACAAATTTTTTACTTTTATATCTGTGTTGCACAGACAAAGGCCACAGTGCATGTCTCTGCTCATTTACTCGATCTGCTTCATGTACATGTTAGACTGCCCATCTAAACACAGAAGAATACAAATGAAGTGATATGGAAATACCTTGTAGTATATCATGCTTTGTTATTTTAAAGAAGATATATGAGAATTTGGATGATGCTTTACTTTAGAATCACCCTTCCTTGGAGTTGAAGAATTGAATTCTATTTAGAAATGATCTCACATCCATATATATCCTTTCAATGGCTCTTGTGGCTTCCAGGTTTAAATCTGATTATACTATGATCAGAAATTTATTTTCTATATTCTTGTTCTCCACATTTAAGTATTAATACTCTTTAGAATTATAGCATACTTACTATTAAATGCCAGGCCTCATGTGAAAATCATTGAAGCTTAAGGAAACTTATTTTATTAACCACAACATTCACATTGTATTTAGTCTTTGGAGCCCTGAAAAGCAAAAAGCTTAAAATGGAAACCAATCATAGGTAACTCTCATCTCTTCATTGCAACCTCGTGAAGGATATGTCTACCAATCTGTAAATTTCACTTTAGCTAGTACACTTAAACGCGTCTGCTCAAAACCAGTAAGATACTAGTCAGGAATTTCTTCTATTTGATATTAATAACATGATCATAATGTACTGCAGAGGAATGAGAAATCTTAGATATTCTTCAAATCAATCAATGAATAACATTCATTATTTATACATTCTTCAACACAAATCCTTCAAAGTGTGTTTTGCTTTCTTATTCCTAAACATTAGTTTCTCGTTTCATAAAACTTTAGAGCTAGAAGAAACCTTAAAGTTCATCTGCTCACCTTCTTCTTTCTATAATGAGTAAACTGAGATCCAGAGGTTTTAGTTGGCCAGGATTTCATAACCGGTTAGAGGCAGAGCCCATTCTTGGGTACTATGACTGCTAGGACAGTGCTCTGTCCACAAAATCTCAGTGTTTATCTTTGGATTATTCTCTTTCATTTTTAGAAATCTTATCTGGCTCAGTTTTGATGATGGAGAATAAAAGAAAAACAAAATCAGTAAATATCAAAGTTGGGAAATTATAGAGTTTTAGTTTTGAAAAGTACAGATGAAAAGGCACTGTCTTAAATGGATACGGTTGACTCTTGAACAACAAATGTTTGGATTGCAGGGTCCACTTATACAAGAATTTTCTTCCACCTCTGGAACTCCTGAGACAGCAAGACCAACTCCTTGTCTTCTTCCTTCTCCATAGTCTACTCAAAATGAAGACAACAAAGATGAAGACCTTTATGAAGAATTTATGGTGGTCTACTTTCACTTAATGAATAGTAAATATATTTGCTTTTCCTTATGATTTAACAAAAATAGTTTGCTTTATTATAAGAATACAGTATAAAATGCATATAAGATATAATGCATATAACAAAATATGAGGGGACCCAAAAAATCCAGAATTTATTTATTAAAAATTGTATATTTGTTCTCACATGTTTAAACTTATTCTTACATGTCTCAACTTGATTCTCACCTTCAAAGTACTTTCCATGTGATATAATACACCTATTGAGATGCTTTTTCCACGGCTCAAAACAGTTTTTGAACTCATCAATTATGATGCCTTTTAGTGTTTCTGCCATTTTTTGTTTCACCTCTTCCACACTGGCAAAACATTTCCCTTTGAGGACTTTTTTCATACAAGGAACAAACGAAAAAGCCACTAGGGGCAGGTTCAGGTGAATAGGGAGGGCAAGGCAGGGGGGTCATGCTGTTTTTGATCAAATCCTGCTGAACACTCAGCACAGTGTGAGCAGGTATGCTTGTAAATCACCCATCACAAAATGGGCAACATTTTTGAAATAATCTCCAAAATAATAATAATAATAATAATAATAATAATAATAATAATAATAAAATTTCACTGTGGCAGAACACAGCCTCTCACAATGCCAGCTGGTACATTGATAGCAATGGGTTCTTACAACACTTACCTAGCGGGGGAAGCCTGTACTACAAGGGACTGCCCCAACAAAAGATAATTCTTTTTTTTTTGTTGTTCCCCATTGTATATGCTAATTGATTGTTTATGTTATCAGTAAAGCTTCTAGTCAACAGTAGATAATTGGAGTTAAGTTTTGGGGAAGTTAAAAGTTACATGGCAGTTTTTTTGACTGCATGAGGGGAGTTAGTGCCCCAACTCCTGCATTGTTCAAGGTCACCTTAAGCAAACATGAGATTTTAAAATGTAGTCTTCTAACTTTTGCAATGTATATCTGAATCAAAATGAAAATTCTAGGGTAGACTTTTAGCTTAGATCAATTTTAAGCTGTTATTCAAGGGCAAAAATTGTAATAAATGTACCCTTACAAAAAAGTTTCTATAGAAAATAAAAATGAGAACGCTAGGTATAACAGACCCAATAGGTTTCTTTATTATAGGACTTCTCAAAACCTTTGCCTTGATAATAAACGTACAATGTGATTATCCCAGAAAACTCAGTGTTTTTCAAAGCTCATGTAATTAGGAACTCCTTTCATTCCAACTAAATATGTTCTAGTACCTCTGAGGCCTCTAGTGTGTTCACAAGCTGTTTGAAAGACTCTTTCCATCCAGTTTCATGGCTTTAAATTCTGTCTGAATGCTAATAATGCTCATATTTTTATCCCTGGCTCTGATTCCTTGAGGTCTAGAATCGGATAGCTATCTTCATAGCTCCATTTGGATATTTAATACACATCTTAAACATAACATAATCAAACCGACTCTTTATTTCCATGTCTCACATTCAGACACTCAGCCTGTTTTTCGCAAAGTGATTTTGCATCACTACCTACATAGTTGCTCAAGCCACATTCAAACTAACTGTCATGCTGAATTTGTCTCCCACTGTTGCAGAGTGGATGCTCCATGCAAGGTACGTATTCAAGATCATTACTCATGAAATGAAGGGGAAGGAGGCAAGATTGGGCAGAGGAAGGGTCAAAGCACACAATGCAGCCCTAACAAGGCTTTGACCAATACTTCAAGGAGTTCTAGAGTGAATAATGTCCTTAAGAGCGCCGATATGTTAGGATGAAGTAGTTGCTCCCTTAGACTTCTGTCTCACTTGTGCCAATCATCAAATCATGCTGCCTAGGGGAAGGCAAGATCCAGCTTCGGGTAGATTCCTCACTAGCATGACTGAATTCTTGAGGTGGACCCTCTCCTGATCTGTGGTGTTTTCTCTCTGGGAAGTTTTCTCCTCACCAGTATTCTGATTTGCAAACTCTGGCACCATTGTTCTCTCAAAACTTTCAGTTCTGTCTCCTCAACTCATGGTACTTTGTTCCTGGGTTCCCTTTTCTTGAGTCAGGATACAGAACCTTTTTCAAGCAATAAACTGGGGCCATGATGGCGCTTGTTTTGTCTTTTCCTCATCTTTCCAAAATTATTCTCCTTTGTTGTCTGATGTCCAGTATCTTGAAATCCATGGACTCATATTTTGTCTGGTTTTATGTTATTTATTTTTGGGTTGTTTCAGGAAGAATTGTGAGCTAGTCTCTATTACTTCACCTTGGCTAGAAGTGGAAGTAATTGGAGTTTGTCTTTTGAACTATTTTTTGTACAGTTTACTTTTACAAGAAAGTATTTCTTTATTAGATCTGGATTAACAAAGCTGTTAGTGGAGGCTTTGTTCAAGAGGGGTTGGTTACTTCTGGAATCTCTGTTCTGTTCCATTGGTCTATATCCTGTTCTTGTAACAGGTTGTTTTGATTATTGTAGCCTTATAATTAAGTTTAAAGTCTAGAAGTGTGAAACCTCCTGCTTTGTTTCTCTTGCTGAGGATTGTTTTGGCTATTCGTGGTCATTTATGTTTCCATGTGAATTTCTTTATTGTTGTTTCCAGGTCAGAGAAAAATGATGTTGGTAATTTAATAGGTATAGCATTGAATCTGTAGATTGCTTTGGGTAGGATGTATATCTTAACAATGTTGATTCTTCCAATCCATGAGCATGGAATATTTTTCCATTTGTGTCAGTTTTGACTTCTTTGGGCAGTGTTTTGTAGTTTTCATTGTAGAGATCTTTCACTTCTCTGGGTAAGAAGATGCCAAGGTATTTCTTTTTCTGTTTCTTTCTTTTTTTTTTTTTTTTTTTTTTTTAAAAAACCTTCA